CAAACTCTCCTCCTTCACAAAGAAAACACAACATCATCATCAGTATATATATCAAAAACAGAGGAATGACGTTTAGCGTTTGGCGTTTTCAAGTACCTCGCTACTCTCGGAGGTCACGAGCCAGTCTGGGAGCAACCGATCGAGCAAGGCGTAGTTAAGATTCGGTGTTGATCCATCATCATCTAGCCGTCGTTTCAGCTGTTTCTCTCTGAGGCGTAAGTTGTAATGGACGTAAGTGAGATCTTTCGTCGACTTTTTCCCAAACCGGCTTTGGCATTGACCGTTTACTTGGTCGTACACGCTCCACTTAGGCTCGCACCCAATGGAGGAGCAAGTGTGGCTCAGTATCCGAACCGCTACTCGCTGGAGTTCCAAACAGCTTATACCGTGTTGTTGCCACCACGCGGCTGGGTCGAGCTCGGTTCTTGTGCCAATCGCTATATCCGTTCCAAAATCGGCTTTTGCAGAAGTATAATCCGGAATCTGAAACATACATTTCAACAACAAAAATTGGTTTAGACAAAGAATGAAAAGAACAATGTGTGATTTGTGTTTTAAATTACCTGCATCAATGCTGTGATTCTTCTCATATTATCAGGCTCAAGTCGAACAATGCATTCGTTAACTCCGCGCACAACCTCAGAATGCTGCAGATTCATAAACATTAACAGCAAAACATAAGGAACTCACAGAAATTTTTATAATGGGTGAATCAAATTAAGGATAACCATACCTACCGCCATAAAATCAGGACGATATCTATAAGCCGGGTTGAAGAAATATGCAGCTACGTAGAGGGGATGATGAAACAATGAGTTCCAATGGTAATCTATAACACGCCAGAATGGTCCGTATTTCCTTGCATCATCGCTATGAATAGACTTGATCGCCATTTTCGCACGGCACATGTAACCGTAAGCATATGGCAAAGATAGTCTCTCGCCACCACCATCATCAATCATACGAATCACCTGCATCACTGGATCAACCGATTTCAAAACGTACTGAACCTTCTTCCAAAACGCAGCACTCGACACCATCTTCTCCACTTCTCTTCCCTCTTCAGACTTGGCAGCCGTCTGAGACAAAATCCAGCCGTTGGATTGAAATAGACCTCTGAGATTGGCCTTGTGATCCATAAGACTCTGAAGAGTGGTGAAACTGGAGGCGTGGCGCGTGACTCCCGGTCTAAGAAGATCTAGCCCCTGTGTGAACTCGTTCTTCATGAGATTAAGCAGCCAAGTTTGATTGTAAATGAATCTGGTGATTCTTTGGGCCTTCTCTAAGCACTCGGAGACAAATTCAAGCTTTGAGATATCTTCAAGAACCAATTCCGTGCAATGCATCGCACAAGGAGTCCAGTACAAATTCTTTCTCTTTTCTTCAAGTAGTTTTCCAGCACTTCTATAGATAGCAGTGTTCTGTGTAATAACCTGCACCACATTTTCCTCACCAATGTCTTCAACTAGTTTGTCTAGGCACTTGAAAAGGATTAAAGCATCTTCTATTATGTCAGTGGCATCAATGGAGGAATGGAAGTAGACACCGTGCGGGCACGAGACCAAGAAACTGATCATTGTCTTGCCCTCTGTGTTGGTCCAAGTATCTGCCATTATAGAACAACCCGTAACCACCCAAGAAGATCTGTACTCCCTCAAGTAGCTTTTGATAGTCGATATCTCGTCCTGTAAGAGCCTACCAGAAAACAGCTGGCTGGAGGGCACAACAAATCCTTCTCCATACAGACCAATCAATTCAATCATCTTTTGGAAGAACAAAGAATTCGTTGCTTCCATGGGAACTCCTACGTGGTGGAAGAATTTGGAAATAGAGGAAGTGACTTCTTTTCGTGATACAACTCTGTTTGAACAACTAGTGTATATTTTTCTCTGTTTGCTCGAAGAAGGTGACTGAAACGGGATCACCTTCGCTCTTTTTGGTCTTGCTTCAGAGACAGATCTAGTGTTCACTGAATCAAAGTTTTTTCTTTTTTCTTTACTAGACCTTCCATTTCCAAGCACCAACCTATCTTGGCTACTTGGATTGAAGTCATTTTCCTCTTCATCTTCTTCTGGCTCGGGATCCTGAGAGACTGTTGCAAGAGTTAAAGCTCCCATGTCATCATCAGGTCTGTTCTGTCTCTTCCCAGCTCGATGCCATTTCATATTCTCTTTAATCCTAACATAAACCTCCTCAGGAGCGTTTTTACACGGCGCTACCTCTCCAGGTATTCTCGCGAGGTGCTGTTTAAATCGATTAATACCACCACTCACAATCTTGTTACAGTAATTACATTTCACTTTCTTTTTCCTCTCATCCTGAGCAACACCATGTTCCCATCCAGGATCAACGTATCCAGAAGACCGGAGAAGACTCCCATCACCCAACGATTGCTTTCCTTTGCTTCTTCTATACCAGCAACGCCGATCTTCCTCTTCCGCCTCATCATCATTGTTAGATTGATGGAAACTGGAACAAGACTGTCCATTGTTATCCTCATGTTGCCTCAGCTTTCTGGTGGAACGACAACGTTCCAAATTCTCCTTCATCCTCAAACATACTTCCTCTGGAGACTTATTACAATAAGTTACTTCTCCTGACACACGAGCCAAGTGTTGCTTCAATCTGTATATTCCTCCGCTAACGATCTTACCACAGTAATTGCATTTAACCTTCTTCTTCCGCTCGTCTTGAGCAACACCGTGCTCCCATCCAGGGTCTACTACTCCAATTGTTCCAGGTGGAGCCATTGTTAAACCATTTGCAAGCTTCAAGAAAGTTTCAAACTTTACAAACCAGTAATCTCTCTTTCAATTTAACAATAACAAGAACATCTTTAAAACAAAATGCAGGAATATCAGCTACGAGACTACCAACTTCTTTATGTTTTGCAAATAAGGAAAGTTTTTTCCTTTGGGAGAAGATGACTCTTAGTTAGTAGACAAAAAGAGAAAATAAAGACATATTCTGTTCAAAATCCAATCGAAGAACAGAGAAACGAACTGGGTTTTTCTGCTATTGCATACCTAACGAGACTGAGAACTTTCTGGTGCTGGTGACTCGGAAGTTTTGAGAGAAAGGAGGAAAATTTCGTAATTCGGAGACGAGGTTTATCAAGCCGGAGAAAACGGAGGTGAAGCTGAAGCGAAGTTGGAACACATTTCAAGCGGCGAGGCACGAATTTGAGCGAGTCACGGGGACGAGATAGAGCTGGGTGAGGAACGAATTAACTCGACTCGGGCGATTTCTAGGGTTTCTGTCCTTGGGCTGACTCGTTGTGTTTTTTGTTTACAAAATGAGGGCTTATAGTTTAAGAAAATTACAGATTAAGCCTCTATATAATAGAAAGCGACGTAATTAACCCTCTTATCACAAGTCCAATCAGCTCTTCGTTCCGATGTTTTAGTCTTTCACCAATCTGGCAAAACCAAAGTTAGGAAGTGCCTGACCTTGTTCTTTCCACTTTCGTGTTGCAAAAAACAGAGTTTTATATTTACGAACCCATATAAGAATTTGATTTTTCCAAATTACTTATCTTGATGATAATATTTATCTTTAAAGATGCGAACCAAAACAGTGTATCTTTATCACATCTGCCAAGTCAAACATCAAACGAAATATCATTTTCTTGGATATGTATCAATCAAAACCTAAATCATTGGCTTTTGAGAACTCTGATTCATGAGAAAGAAAAAGAAACTCTGAAACATCAAACCTTCTTCCATGAAAATCTCCAAACCAGTAAACAATACAAACAAAACACACAGAGTATCTCAAAGGTTGAAGAAGAACCCCATTAATATGAATGAATTGTCACTGCACTCACACCATTATACAAAATGAAAGCCCTAATCTAATCCTAAATTCAAAGTCTCCAGCTTTCTCTGTGAGGCATTTGATCGAACACGTTTCAAACTGAACTAAGAACAGAACACCAAATCTGGATATTACAGGTCTATGATAATTCACTGATAATCGCAAAAAGTCCTCTTTTTTTCTTGAACCCTAGAAGGAGATCTATTATACAAAAGCCCTACGTACCAGAAATTTGCTGAGAGATTATTGAATCAGCGGTCGCTGTTCTTCCTCTTGTTAGGGTTATTATTCTCTGAAGTTTTTTGTTTGATAACAAGGTCTTGAAGATTCGCCAATGCTTCTTTAGCTCTCATCTTCGCCATTTTAGCTTCAAGGATCTTCTTAACAGCTTCGTTCTTTAAATGAGCCACCGCTTTATTCATCGAAACCACCGCGATTTCCGCCGCCGCGATGAGAGCCTTCCCCGATTCCTCATCGAGAGGCGGCGTTTCGTCATTCTCTCCGATTTGGTCAGAGCTCGGAGGATGAGATTTGGGAAAGAAGGAGAAATTAGGGTCAGAACATGGCGAGCATGTGA